ACCGTCGTTGGGGCAACAGACCAGGTTTTTTGTAATCTTGAGGCTAAAAAGTATCAACATCAAACAAACTTCTGTTCATATAAATTGCCTGATCGAACATTGTGAATTTTTACACGTTTCTCGTGTATGCACTTAGTTACGGCGCTCCAATCTTGTTACGTGAGCGATCTGGTTTGTCGCGCAAATACAGAGAAATTAACATAGAATACATATTCCCCCCGAATCCTCTTTTATAATTCTGGGTGTAACGTTGGTGCCGCCTGATTTCAATACTACCGGCCCCTTTTATACAATATTTCTATTCGTCTAACAAATAGACTTACGTAAGTCGTGCCGAGTTCTCGACATATTTTACCCCGAAGGTTTGAATACATCCTGCGCTTTATCACCTTTACGTAGATGGGGTATCATTTCCAACCAGGCGACACATATCAGAATAATTTTAAAATCTCCTACATTGATATGAATTAGAAATGATCTCCATTGATGTCCTCTTTTCTATGCCAAGAAATGCCCCCGGTAATGCCCGTTAGGTTTTCATATAAATTCCATGATAGCACAAAAATATACCAGACATAATTTCTCTGGGAAAAATTGCTATGTCATTTAATAAATTCTGGTACATATTTATTCTCGCGTTTGGCGTGTCTCGTAGTCAATTTGATATAGAGATTTAAAATCATCTGTTGAAAATAATACGTCACTGGTAACAATATAAATGTCAGTGGATATCTGTGTAACTGTAAGGGGGATGTTTCCTCATTAAGTTATCTCTGTGTACGACGGTCATTAAGAATAGTATCAAACTTACTGTCTAGAAGATAAAGGTCAAATATATCTCGGTGCGTCACTCTATCTAACTGAATATTGAATGTCGTACCTGCCCGATCGCGTTTAGTTTAGTGTATAAACATCGTACATGTCCTACAGTTTACCATACCTGTATAGTGTTTAGTGTATAAGTACCGTACCTGTATAGTGTTTAGTGTATAGTATCGTACCTGTATAGTGTTTAGTGTATACGTACCGTATCTGTATAGTGTTTAGCGTATAAGTACCGTACCTGTGTAGTATTTAGTGTATAAGTATCGTACAGTCTGTGTAGTGTTTAGCGTATAACTACCGTCCCTGTATAGTGTTTAGTGTATAACTACCGTCCCTGTATAGTGTTTAGTGTATAAGTACCGTACCTGTTGAGTGTTTAGTGTACAAGTATCGTACCTGTATAGTGTTTAGTGTACAAGTACCGTGCCTATGTAGTGTTTAGTGTTGAGTACCATACCTGTATATTGTTTAGTGTATAAGTACCGTACCTGTGTAGTGTTTAGTGTACAAGTACCATACCTGTGTAGTGTTTAGTGTATAACTATCGTACCTGTTGAGTGTTAAGTGTATAAGTACCGTACCTGTTGAGTGTTTAGTGTATAAGTACCGTATCTGTATAGTGTTCAGTGTATAAGTGCCGTACATGTATAGTGTTTAGTGTATAAGTACCGTATCTGTATAGTGTTTAGTGTATAAGTACCATACCTGTGTAGTGTTTAGTGTATAACTATCGTACCTGTTGAGTGTTAAGTGTATAAGTACCGTACCTGTTGAGTGTTTAGTGTATAAGTACCGTATCTGTATAGTGTTCAGTGTATAAGTGCCGTACATGTATAGTGTTTAGTGTATAAGTACCGTATCTGTATAGTGTTTAGTGTATAAGTACCGTACCTGTGTAGTGTTTAGTGTATAAGTACCGTATCTGTATAGTGTTTAGTGTATAAGTACCGTACCTGTGTAGTGTTTAGTGTATAAGTACAGTACCTGTAGAGTGTTCAGTGTTGAGTACCGTACCTGTGTAAGCTCAGCTTAAATACAATCTGCTTAATCCAAATTGTCATTAATTTGTATGTAGTGGAATAAACCTATTTGAAAATGAAATCTTAGGATCGACTAAAGTCACAAAATTAACAGCACTATTCTGGACCATCATGTTTTCTTGTTGTACACACGTGTAGACTTTTGGTCATTTCTTGCTCCACGGAGTGGTCAGTTCTACCCCCATAAAGTGCTCACTCCTTGCTAAATGAACACCTTCCAATATTAGCTCGTAATTTGAAGGCGAAATATTTATCAACAAAATACAACGGTTCGATTACGAACGGCCCTAATCAGCAAATGTACCCTTCCGCCGCGTGGGGCCGGATCCTAACGAAAACAGACGTACAACTAGGGGCTGATAAGGACCATGTACGTCATTTAATTAGGGACGTGGATCAGGGCCACAGTGACCTGAGAAAAGGTATTTACATATTCAATATTTTTCTTGGATCGCGAGATACGAAATTTTTTAATATAGCAGTTAAAGATTTGACTAAACTACGGTATGGTGTTTATGATAAAACCACTTCAATGAAGATTATATAAATGTATGTCCGATGTATGATTTATTTAGCATAAAGACATTATTTTGATTTTCACGAAAAAGGTATGGGTTCCGTATTATGAAATACATTTTTAGAAGGTCTCATGATGTTCAAGGGAAGGATAAGTAAATGGTGAGCTGGAATGAAAATCCGAGGACATTCTCTACGACATTAATGAAAATTCTAATTTTGATTTGAGAACTTTAATACATGAGGGCCCTGTGTTATCCACAGTTCCACTTGATACAGCTTTTTATAATCCACACAATGGACTCGATGCTTTGAAGGTGAATCTGATTATCTCGTATTCTGTCGAGAGGACAGCCAGGTAATTTATATGTATGTATTAAGTAAAATGTCATACCTGTGAAATTTTTACCTGTAAGAGTAAAATGAAGTCTGCACTTGAACGAGCTGTTGACATTCTCAGATACAAACCTCGACAAATCTACAGGTACGGGGCTTTGTAAAGCAACACAATTATACAAGGCGCGCAACAACACAGAAATTTACACCTGTTCAAAGTTTACTGTACGTCTTTTTTCTTACCCTGATAATTTTCTCTATCAACTGAAGTGCACTACCCCAATATCTGGAGTGACTTATCTTACTGTATACGTCAATGGGGACCTCGCCATATAACAAATCTCACAGACGTATATACTTCAGTTGGGTTTAAACGTCAACATTCATTTGTGAAAAATTAGACCAACAAGTGCAGTAATTAGTATGATTAATTCAGCTAAGACTCTCCCAGGGTTAGGCTGTTATGTCAGAATTTCCGTCAGCGGTTCCATAGGAGTAACATACCTTACAGGGTTATTATTATCAACTCATGCTCCTTCTAAAGTGTAGAAAAAATCGACCAAAGTGAACTTCATGTAAAGTGACACTTAAAGACTGTTAATCTCTAGGATCAACGTTACTTAATATTTACATAGCCAATATTCTAGAGTTGTTAGTGTGTGTTTTAATTATATCTTTATCGATGATAGGGATATCAATCTATTTAATAAAATAATATGCTATCTATCGTGACGTTCTCGGTATACTCGTGTGGCGGGTGTAATCCCGGGGACGGGGTCAGCGAGCTGGGGGCTACATACCCGGGTCAATATTAGTTTTGTGAAAGATTACTGTTATAAATAACATAGGATTCAATTTCAAATAACTCGATATCCCTGGTCTGGCGTCAGGTCAGCCTGAGATTACAACCAGGCTTTATATTAAGAATATGCAGTTTTACTATCGTTACATGTATTTTTCAGGCTAAGTTTGTAGTCATTTGCATCGATAATTTCATCTAAGAAGGTTTTTTTCAACATTTTTTTCTCGACGAAATTGTCTTTTCAGGGGTTTTTTTTCCGGCAAAATTGTCTTCTTACGTGATTTTTTTTTACCAAAATTGTCTTTTCACATGAATTTTTTTGACCTTGATTGTCTTTTTACATGAATTTTTTTGACCTTGATTGTCTTTTTACATGTTTTTTTCAGTTTTAGATGATACTCAGGTTTTTTTACAGAGATATAAAGTACGTAGTAAAGTTATACAGGCATTATCAGTAGTTATCATAGTAGTTTTTATTTCACGTGATGTTTTCCTCTGTATTGTTACAGGGATGTGTAGTTTTACTGTATAATTCAGACTAAGGTTGTAGTTTTACAGGTATAATACAGACTAAGGTTGTAGTTTTACAGGTATAATTCAGACTAAGGTTGTAGTTTTACATTGTATAACTCAGACTAAGGTTGTAGTTTTACAGGTATAATTCAGACTAAGGTTGTAGTTTTACAGGTATAATTCAGACTAAGGTTGTAGTTTTACGTGTATAATTCAGACTAAGGTTGTAGTTTTACGTGTATAATTCAGACTAAGGTTGTAGTTTTACAGGTATAATTCAGACTAAGGTTGTAGTTTTACTGTATAACTCAGACTAAGGTTGTAGTTTTACGTGTATAATTCAGACTAAGGTTGTAGTTTTACATGTATAATTCAGACTAAGATTGTAGTTTTACATTGTATAATTATGGCATGTTTCAGACACAGATTTTGTCCAGTGTTCATCACCCGGTCCTATACTTTCCGTACTCATATTTGGTTTCCATCTTAGGGACATGTAGTTTTACGTAGTATTTTTTCAGACTAAGATCAAAACTAAGATAAATCACAAGATCGTGTCCTTTAAAATAAATTAAAAAAAAATCACATTATCTCAAATATCTTGATTTATGTATTAAATTATATGTACATGTGGTATTTTAAGGAGTATAGTATACAGTAATACTTATTTCTGTCAGAGTTTTATTTTTAGTGTAATGGTCTGTATATATTGGCTGGTGATATACTAGGACTGTGCTGTCGGTGAATTATTAATTAATTTGTAATCGTGAGAATAAATACGTAAACAATGTAATGTTTGTCCGGTTACATCACGAGGCTTTCCTGTAACACTTAACAGTTCTGACTAATATCCGATCTCTACATCTGTCCACACATGCTTAGAACCACACCAATAAAACACGTGCACAACACAGATATTATAGCATTACCCAAAACTACTTCTAGATATGTTGATTATTATGACTTACCTGTGTATGTTTCGCCTGGCTTGTATTTTTTATTCTCAGGTAAATCCTTAATTAATATTTGGAATCCCCCAGTGCCGTTTGATTTTGGGGCAACCGTATGTATAGGTAACCTGGCACACACGTCCAAGTTCGACCGTGCATGTGCAGGTGTGTAACATCCAATAAGCACACAAGTAATTAGTAAACAATTAATGAAGGTAACTACACCCTTCATTGTGGTAACAATCATTCCCTTTCCGAAACAATATACACAGCTCGAAAAATGTGTGAATTTCACATTGAGATAAAATGGGTACGTTTCTCCTCTGTAGTTGTTAAAATCACACAAAATTATACTTCACATGATCACATCACCAGGCTACATGTAAGTTCCAGGTATCGGGCAGTAGGTATAATGTAGATATTTCCCACACAGCGTAGATGAAACACACGTAGGAATAACAGTTAGAAAACATGTGTATAGTGATTTCAAGCTTAACTCAACAGAGTGTTACCGTGTGCTATTTCATTGGTTGTTTTCTTGACATAAACTCCGCCCACTTTGATATCGCGTGCTTTTTTTACCAAACAATATAGTGATAGTATACATATTATCTACACACACGTCTGTATCTTGGTCTGATATGCGGAGTATGTTATGGGGTGTTGTTTGGGGTTTACAAAGAGACACTTTAGTACGTAATTCAGCCGTCCAACCGTGGCTAAGTATCGACCCCAGCCTCTAGGGGCCGGGGAGGCTGGTTAAACCAGAGATATAAGTCATGTTACGAATATACGTTTTACCTGTAAAGGTACACACAGGTGTGTAATATACCATCGCAATCAGGTCCACTTTACAATGGCTATATATACAGCGCAAGTTATAGAATAGCTTTATATCTTGTTAAATAGCTTCACTATGACATCAAACATTGATTACAAATCTATTATCAAATTATAAACCAGTATTTCAGATTTAACCGTGTAAAATTAATACAGAAGTACTACAATACAGCTTTACTGGAGACAGGCAGGAAGAATCTATTCATATTTAGATAAAGTAAGATATACACTAATATTTATTCTCAGAAAATTATTTACGTCTTACATAAATTATACCCAGAATGTGACTGGTTTGTTTTCGATCTTTCATTCCTGCTAATAAATTTGCTAATTCGCCAGGCAGCACCAGGCACCTGAAACCTGAATATCAACAATTCATGTCTCGTGTACGTAAACAAATATTTGGTATCACACAAACTTCAAAAATTGGGAGAAATTCTGCAAAAATCAACAACAAGATTTTATCAAAGATTCATGTCTCAGAGATATTTATAACTTCATTATAAATATATAAAAAAATGTTTGTAAATAATAGGAATAATATTTATTAATATTTTTTTACAAATAAAAATCTTAATTCAAATTACACTCACATAAGTATCATACTAACCCTAAATAATTACAAGCACGTGACGTGATATGGTAAAGCCAGATGTATTATACAACAGTATACTAGGACCGAGTTAAAATGTACACAGATACTATATTACAAAACACAACCTTTTATCAGGTTAATTTTAGAATATGCCGATGTTGTTTGTGATTCGTTACCATCATATTTGATTGACAGACTAGAATAAGTCCAGACATGAACGAGTGTACCTAACTGGTAAATATAGATTTAAAAAAAGCAGTTAAAGGAAGAGATATTCGTTTTCGTAAAATATTTCTTTAAAAAAACAGATTATATTTATCCATGCCTGGTAACAGAACCAAACAACCAAATGTAAAACCAATTGTTATAAAGCATCGTTTTTTTCTTCATCAGCAGTTGAATTATTGAATTTCATACCAGAAGAAATTTGAAACAGACCCTCTTTGAATATCTGAATTTGACTTAGTAAAGACTTGAAGAAACCACCATCTTACGAAAACAATGACGAGCGTAGATTACAATTATTCCATACCCAACTTCATTAATTTGAAAGAAAACTTAATTAATTTAAACCTCACAAAGAGCCCTGTTTTGTTCTAAATGCGAAAAATACACGGGTTAACGTTAGTAGTTTATTTTTAGCATCGAATTTGTTTTTGTTTTTAATCTGTAGTGACAGGTAATCTAAATGTATAAAAACAATACCTGTAGTCGTAGAGAAGTTTTTATATTCTTAATATACATGTAATGTAAATAATATATCACACGTGTCACAAATACTATAGACATGTAATGTAAATAATATATCACACGTGTCACACATACTATAGACATGTAATGTAAATTATATATCACACGTGTCACACACACTATAGACATGTAATGTAAATAATATATCACACGTGTCACACACACTATAGTAATGTAAATAATATATCACACGTGTCACAGATACTGCAGACATGTAATGTAAATTATATATCACACGTGTCACACATACTATATACATGTAATGTAAATTATATATCACACGTGTCACACATACTATATACATGTAATGTAAATTATATATCACACGTGTCACACATACTGCAGACACGTAATGTAAATAATATATCACACGTGTCACAAATACTATAAACATGTAATGTAAATAATATATCACACGTGTCACAGATACTGCAGACATGTAATGTAAATTATATATCACACGTGTCACAGATACTGCAGACACGTAATGGATTACATCGACAAAGTATACACTTAATATACATGTAAAGTAAATGATATATTACATATCACACATATCACAATTACTATATACTTGTAACGGATAAACCTACAGCACGGTATACTGTACAGACATACAGATACTTAGTGTTAATCTATTGCGTTTTCGTCAGTGAAATATAAGAAATCTTTTTAATCAAATTTGTTATTACATTTTCACCACCGAAATATTTGGTTATAAAAGTGAAACACATTCTACGTTTAAAGAGAAAACGTTTAAATATCTATACATTCTTATTTCATTTTAAATAAAAAAAAAACTCCACAAAAACGAACAAAGAAAAAATCAGTCGAAAAGCTCGTGAATCAATACGATGATATTTGATGACGTAGGTTATGACGTCACTACGTTTTGAACTGACTGTTTAACAAAAAAATCGACTGTATTCTATTGTTTTCTGTTAAGAATTGCCTTCTTAAATGTTATCAGATATGATTTTACTTTAACCTGTGGTGTGTATAAAGAAGCTGAAATAAAACAATAAATTACTATAGTAACGATATAAGTCGTACTTATTGACCTTCACTTGATCTGATTGGCCAGTATAATTACCATCACCATAGTGATGATGTAAGTCCTACTTATTGACCTTCATATGATCTGATTGACCAGTATAATTACCATCACCATAGTGAAGATATAAGTCCTACATATTGACCTTCATATGATCTGATTGGCCAGTATAATTACCATCACCATAGTGACGATATAAGTCCTACATATTGACCTTCATATGATCTGATTGGCCAGTATAATTACCATCACCATAGTGACGATATAAGTCCTACTTATTGACCTTCACTAGATCTGATTGGCCAGTATAATTACCATCACTATAGTGACGATGTAAGCCCTAGTGACGAGATAAATATTTCCTACATTATCGCTGAAGTGCTAATATACGTGTTTATTTAAGTGGTATCTTTTCTAATCACAGTTTTTGTTTGTGGAGTAGAAAATATGTACAAAGCATGCGAAGTAAAACGAAGTAATGTTTCCTCCGGGATGTCAAAAATGACAAAACAAGAATGATTAAGAATTTTCATATTATTTTTAGCATTTCTATTCTACATTTTTTTTCAAAATTAATGAAATTTCTTGCTTTTGGAATACAAAATAATTACCGCACTATTATGTTTCACAGACAATGAAATGAGACATTGCAGCTCCAGCTATTCTGCTAACGAACATTTAACGCCGATAATGAAATTAATTTTTAGGTTGGTTATATTTTTTTTATCTTTTGAATCCTTAAGAATGTAAATATTATATTTATTTTCTCCGATTTATGATCGTGCCAGTCGGTACAGCCTTGGAGATATTGATATTATCACAATTTGGTTGCATTAATGTGAACACTGAGAACTCAAAGTTACTTGAGTCTGAAAAAGTAATTCCAAGATGTCGGGTCCATAACTATAGAAATGTCATAAAAATACAGACCATGTTTGTTGTAATATCGCGGTCATCACGCGGAACTCTTCTCTCGGGGAGGTAGTAAAGTTCGCTATCCATCGGTATCTTCCAACCATGCCATCATATGAAGTTCAAGATACTATTCTCTTAAACTTTGAAGTAATTTGTATAAAGAAGAACTCAATCAATGAGCCATGCAGCATTGTCTTAATGAGTAAAAATATTGTACATATACTGTTATCGGCAATTTGTGAATTGACCTACTGTATGGCAAGAATTAAAGCAACTGTATAGGCAAATTTGAAGGAATTCGAGAATGAAATATTAGAATTTTCGGTGCTGATACTTTGATATTTCGGGAAGGGGATGCAAAGGCAGAGAGAGAGAACAGGAAAACGATTGCAAAAGGAAAAACTATGAAATAAAAGAGGATATGATTCAGAAAAAAGAAATCCAGTGACTTGAACTGCCGTGAAAATACATTCTAATCAAAGTCCAATGCCCGAAAGAAGTCAAAGCGATACCACCGACATCGCCATGGATGTGAAAGAACCTTCATGGAAGGAGGTGTCCGAGATGACTTGATGTCCTATTGGGACCTCGGCAGTAAAGTTTTACAGTGTAAACATCATTCCCGCACTATCACAAGGAAGCTTACACCCATCTTGAAAACACGCACTTAACATATGCGCTCACCTTGCATACAGTGGAAGACGGTCCGCAGATGACGATGGCTGTTGTCAGGACGTGAAACAATATAGAACCAAACATTACCGTGTTGAATTAAATGTTCTATGACTACAGTTGATGATAATGTCCATACAGATAGGATGCCAAAAGAGGCGATAGATAAAATACCAAAATGACGGTTTTAAAATCTAAACACTCACCAGGCATGTATCACCAGACCAAAGTTTTCATTCATAGAACACATTAGAACACAAAGTGTGTCAACACAGATCAGATTAACCCCCTGTGGTGTATATATAATAACAGATAAATACTTGCGCCCATTTTAATGTTTCCATTTGAAATTAATTTTTACAAAAAAATCAGACTTTGCTCTATAAGCCCAGCGGAGTCCTTACGTCTCTATAGCACAAAC